CTATAACAAGCTTTCATATCTTAGAAATGCACGTGAGTAGGTGTAGCATATGAAGCTAAGATGTAGTTCGATGATTTAAAATAAGTGGTGAATAGTTTTCACTGAATGTACCATGAAGGACGGAAATTTCACGCTACGATATTTTAATTACACAATGTTTATCTTTATAGAACTTAGCTTCATTAGAATTTAATTGGTGGGTGGTGACTAGTAGTGGGATCCAGGATGTGCATTTCGTTTTCTTGGGACTCGCCAGCTGGATGTAGCTGCATTCCCCAGTGAGTGATTATATTCCAAACGAGGCTCGAACCCAGTGTCCATAGTTTCGAACGTCAAGGCGTTATCCACTAAACCACTTGGGCCACGAGAACCACTACCTCTTGTGCAATGGGTCATATTAATTATATGATTTAGTTTTAGATTTTCCCCTCGATTGAGTGCACCGAAGTGCTCGGTCTCAGGTTGACATGTCGGCTTCCTTCGCCGATGATTTGACGATGTCTGGGCCTGTGGTTAGAATTTAATGGGTCGATGGTAACTAACAGTAGAATCAGGATGCGCATTTCGACCAATTTTGAATCCGTCAACTGGATGTAACTTCATTATGACAATATTAATTATACCATCGTATGTCATTTATCTTTAGCGTATACTCAAGAGTAAAATCATTTGACCACAATTCATGAATACAAAATTCAATTTCATTCTTATTTAGCTACAGTTAATGCAGTCTTGGCATACACAAATTTGAGGAAACAATGTAGTCACCCAGCCAATATGCCAGAATAATTTCAATTTCGAATAAAGAATTTAAGGCGTCAGCGGTTAGAAAATAAATGTTCTTCTAGTGTTAGAAAGACAATACGAAACGAACCTACTAACATCTCAGAAAGTGACATTACTGGTGCTATAGTTCACCCTGCACAAAGTAGGTTTAGGAAATAGGTTATGTGCCAAACATCATATTAGAGGTAATAGGCGATGGTTCGAAGATATATCACCCATTAAATATATTTGATGTATGATTCATAGTTTCAGTGATCAGGATAGTCAACCCCAGGTTTCAGACCATTGTTATAGCATCTACAGCCAACAAGACTGTATCATTGTGTGCCCTTCATCAAATAATATTATCCTACATTAGGAGGAAGCAACTCCGTCAGAGAATCAGACATTAACCTGTTGCCCAACACATATGCAGAAGGAAATGAGGATGGATTGAACACAAGTGACACCAGAGTCTAGGGCTTAAAGTAGAATTATGTTTTTCGTGTCTGTGATGTGCGTGATAGATAAATGTAGAATGGATTATGTTTTTGTGAAATGAGGGAAGAGGAATTTTAAGTTGATGCTGAAATCTGAATTTTTCGGAATCAAGGCAGAATGAACAACGTTTACAGCAATCAAGGAATCAGTTGGGGTGGAAAACTTACCAAGATTTTGCCCAATCGAATGATTCAAAGTTAACAGTAGTATGCAGATACTTTTTTAATGTCTATAGCTGCATTAAATTCATGAAGAGTACAATACAACTTTTATGTTAGTACTGTTCGAGGTATTTTCCTACCAAGTATTCGCCACGTGCTGCAGCAGTCAGACCCAGGATTTCATGCCTAGCCGCAGGCGAAATAACCACAGTCATAATATAAGAAAAAACTGTAGTTCTTGAGCTGTGTATCAAATAAATTACAAATCAGCCGGCTAGTACCATTTACATAGCAGAAATACAACAGTTGTATTCACTGTGTACTAAATTAGAATACTAGAAGGTAAGTGAAAATGAGTAGACAAAATCAAACAGCCAGTAGGATATCCATCAACAAGCCAAATCCAGCAGGGAGTCGGAACCTTACAAATATGTGGAAAATATATAGTCTCCCATTATAGGCTCATATATTCCCGAGTATTTTTAGTTGCTGATCTCCTTCTGACATAAATTAGTGCTAAGCCCTTAGATTCCACCGTTAGCCTGTCCGAAGCGATGAATTTGACACACAACCTAATTCATTGAACTAAATAGAATCGCTGAATTTACATTAGTTTCGAAAATCCACATTTAATTCTCCACCACAATCGAAGAAGTTTCTTAATCTGATTTCAGATTGATGACGGTCTGTGTCACCTTTCTGATTCTGTTTTGTTATCTTCATCCATGTCTATCTTCGAAAGTTGAGAGGATGCTGACTGGATAAGTGAAAAAAATGATCTCTTTCTAAATTCTCTCATCAATACTGACTAGAGATTTCTATTGATTTATGGTTAAATCCGCCATCTCCGTCTTCTCCATAATCACATTACGCTCTGTCCTCTCCACTACACATTTCTCTCACTTTGTTGGCTTTTGCCTTCAGGTGTTCCAGTTTGTGTGACATTCGGTTCAATTCGTCAGAGAAGTCCATATTTTCTAGATTCTTGTTATCGGTCCAATGTATTCCAGGCTTTTTGTTCCACACACATGGTCAACCACATAGTGTACTGCAACACAATCAGGAATAGCATCGTGTGCCATAATAGGTAGCATTGTCTAGCTCCTGTCTGCACTCCTAAGGCTCCTTTCACTTCCCCATCACGGGTGATTTGACATGTGGCATTCTTATGTAGCTGCTGAATGAGACCGGTAAAGGTTTGGAATACTCCGTAATGCTTAGGAAGTTTCCAAATTGCTTCGCGGTCAATAGTGTCAAAGACCTATTCACGTTTGATGAAGTTGACGTAGAATGTTGACTTCTATTTTGAGGTCTATTCGATGGTTATGTGTGGCATTAAGATTTCTTCCGCAAACGATTTCGTTTTCTTAATCCACTTTGTATTGGTTAGAGTTTCGCATACAGGAAGACACGAAATAATATTTTGATAACCAGAGAGGAGCATGATTCTGTGTCACTGTTTGCTGAGGTCAAAGTAAACCTTCTTCGGTAATTTGATATGGTAGCGTCTCTTCTAATTAACAATTAGTTGCCTTTCTTTCCCTCCCAACCTTCTTTTATTGTGATTTGAGAATGTCCACTACGGCCCCTGAATCCGTTCACAGCTCTTCAGCAGGAATTACGACTAATTTCACTGCCTTCGCCGCCAGCTTTCTATATGATTACCACATCCAAATCATTTGCAGTTTTTTGGAAACTGATGCTGATTGACAGTACTGTGGCTGTAAATGGTATCTCTTGGCGACTCGCAGTGGTCGATTCAAGGACTCTTGAAGTTATGAATCAACTATTTCATTTGCTTCTGTTCTTTGATTGCTAGGTTCTTTTCCTCTTGTCTCTTTCGTTCCATCTGTCTAAGTCTTTCTCTGATAACGATTAGGTTATGACACATATTTCTTATATCTCTTTGGCCTGGTACCTGTTCTGATACAGTTGAGTGTTGTAGGATTGTCTTTCGGGGTTCATAACCTTCTTCTTGATTTGTCCGAACTTATTTTCTCCTGCATTTTCTACCTTCGAATTGGTTCAATTTATGTTCCACCATCCATCTCGACTCTATTACTTTCCATGAGCTTGTAGAAGGCCATCTCTTGCTTCTTCCTTTTCTTCTTCAAGAGAGATACAAAGGTTTTCTATAAAATCTCTCTCAGAGCTTTTCAGCTACCTTGATTATTCTACGTAATGTCTTCAACTTACCTCTGATGCTTCCGGTGAAGGTGTCTTTTACAGTTTCATCCTTAGTTTCTGAGTGGTGAATAGTGAACTGTGGCTTACCTCCTGTTGCTTTGAGGACTTCCGACATGCCTCAGAGATTTTATCGTACCAAATGAGCATTTGAGCCCATATCTTATCGTCTTCTCAATTTTATGTTCATATGCTTGCGTCTCGAGGTTGAAATGGATTCTATGTAATTTTTGATGTGTCCGTTTAGATGGAACTCATATCACCCTGTTCATATTCTTGTTTTTGTTCACTCTACCTTCAATCACCGAACCACTGAAGACACAGATTTCTATGAAGAGTTCTCCATTCTCATTCTCTTCGCCAACGACACATGATTAGTTTCTTATTATTCAGAATACATATCACCTAATAGAATTTTGATGTCGTCAGATTTTTCAAAATGAATCTTCCTGTCATTATCCTGGAGGTTATCGGCTCCCAATGCATAAATGCTCTGATATCTGTTGGTGGCATCACAGTGGCCATTAACTCAGTGGTTGTGTTGCAAGCAACCGAAGTAGATTATTGACTCTCCATTTAACTATTTGGCGAGTCCAAATCCATTTAACCTGCTTTTATGAATTCCTAGCCCTTTGTATCATACCATCTCATTTCTTTTGCAATATTATCGGCTTTTCCGGCTTCAAACATCCTGAGAAAGTTACATATTGCCATGCTGATATCCGCTTCAGTCACAAGCGGAAGACACATAGGCCACCCAGAGGCATCCACTAACTAGTGTAAATACGTCACTCCAATTCCAGGAAGAAATAAGCCTTTTCACATTTTATATTTTTGAAGTTTCTTCATAGATAGGGCAGATTTACCACTCTGAATCTCTCCCTTTATTCTAGACTTAGAAAGAGGAGGCAAACTAGACAATTATTTACGAGGTAAAAACATTTATTTTGCGATACGAATTTAAAATAAGGAACAAACGTCAATTGTACAGAATTCACTTACGTCATTATATCACAGGTGCAACTCTTTCAACTGAATACTTTATATACAGTAATTAATAAACTACCAGCATTACTTTGAGATATTTATTAAATAAAAGTAAATAAAATAAATGCAATCATTCATGCAGAAGTACAGGTTGGCGAAGATAAGAGGCAGAGAGTATAACAGATTTAACTTAAGATAATAATTGCAATTAGAGTTTGCAAACCCAGTTTCTGTGTACACAAAGAATCGGCAGATCAGCATTTTGTGGACATGTGAACATTAGTTCAAAGTACACACTCACAGCCTCCCCCACACTTGTTTTGTGATGAATACCACAAACGAACATATATGTATATATGTGCAGTCGGTGAGAATAGTGTCAAAGCTATAATCCATCGAAAAATGAATGATACAACTTCTGGGAGGAGGTTTATTCTACTGGTATGCATTTCAGTAATTAAAACTAAAAATGTCTTTATCATTTACATCAAGTTCTTCATTTGTTGGTATGTAATGGTTGCAGCAACGATGACTATTACGGTGTTGGTGGCGAACTTGTAAGACTGCATTATAATTACTTTTCTATACATCTCTTCTTCAGGGAAGTCCTTCAAAAACTGTATTGTGGAGTGTACATTACACTCATCTTCTTGTGAGTTGATAAATTCCGTTTCCTGAAAGACTTGAATGCTAAACGAATGACTTAGTTTAACAATCCAGTATGTTATCTCCACTGGTTACATTACTAAGACAAAGTAATGAAGATGAGTTATTCAATTCGGTTATTACAGTATTTATTGACTAATTAAAAACAATCAATATGAATTGGCTAAAAACATCTACTATTCTCATTTCAGTGCAATCGGTGTAATCTCCATTGCAGTATTGATGCTTGTCACGAAAATTCACGCGATTCCACTGATGAATTATATACTGATATCAGTGACTGTAAGTTTGATTTTCCGGCAAGTCAGTGTGATTTTCTTTGACGAAAACGCAATTAAATACGCATAAATTTATAAATAAAACCGTCATTTCTAGTCTACATGAAACAAATGCAGCCTATATATTTTTGGATCGGTTTCATGTTGACAGTGGCCGACATCTATGAGGCTAACAAGACGGCAGCGGAACCCAACAGAATGATATATTCTGTATTGTTCAACGATCTTTCAAATTCAAGGTAAAGTTACTGTGTAAGCGTGTTGATATTTTAATAAGACACAGTTGAATATCAATTCCGCACTTCAAGGCTTTGCTTAACATCGGTGTGCGACTATATGTATATTAGAATCTCCAATCACATAAGCACTTTAAAGTCTCTACAATGCAAACAGCTGAAAATGATCTGTGGACATACAGCGTGAGAAAATTCTCCACCTATGCCATTATCATGCAGACCTGATGTAGCCAATAAGTGGTTGACAACTTGACTCAAGAAATCCGCAATGAAAGTGTTCTAAACTGATATCTTACTCAAGTCACTTAGTGAATATATGAAAACCGATAACTTATTGTTGCATTTCATGTAATCAAATTTTCCCTTGATGATTATCGTAACCATATTGCTGTGAATATTTATTCATGAAAAATAGACTTACTATAATTCATAATTCTTGCAGGTGCTCACATGGTCCTTTGCTTATGCTGATATAACTATATTCCTAAAATTATGGACTCTGCTAGCATGGCTTATAGCGTTAGCTTTTGCTACGATAGCAGTGATACTTGGATTTAAGTTGAAAAGGCAGAAGAAGAAAGTGAACATGATTATATTATATGTCGCAATCGGTCTAGGAGTTCTGAGTAGCATTTTGCTTATTGTTCAACACTTCACTCAGGTAAGTAGCCTTTGAATTTGACAATTCAGTTGTGCAGAGTGGCTTACCGGGCACATAGTTTTCTCAAACTTGTTTGTCTTAGAAGGGAGTTTAGAATTCCTAATAGTCAAATATAGCTGGACATATAACTCGGAATGTCAGTTTGCATTATTATATTGGGTGTACCATGGTATGACAACCACTGGTACAATCTTGCCATTGCCTCACGGATACAGAGGAAAACTGTATTCTCTCATTAAGACACCTAACAAATACTTAATTCTGAAATCAGTCGCGATTTGAACTGGTAATCCAGTGTTTCAGATATTGGATCATTTTGTTTAAATCAAGATAATCGACACGCTATCATGGGTTTCGTTGCATCAGTGTTTACGCGGTACATTCATTTGATTGTTAGACCCATGAAATTCAACAAATTTGAATGGTTAAGTGTGTAGGGAATCAATAGGATTGACAATTGAGCACTTGTTGAGACTCATAAGCTGATAAAATGGGAAGACAAAACATTGTTTATAAAATAAGTCAAATGTACCTATAATACGCGTTAGTTTAACAGTTAATAAAGTGTTTAATCTTATTATTTCCTTGCAGAAGATACCAGTAATAGTACCTGGCGTGATTTTCGGATTGACAGTGATATTAGTAAGTCACAAATATTTATAATCATTATTGTATATTGATATGTGCTCTTCCAAATGATATCTACTTAGGAGTTTTGAACGTATGAGAAATCGACATTACAAATCATTCGATTCAACACTGGTGAACTCTTTATGGTTCCAATCACTGAGACTACGATGTACTTAACTGACACTTGTATGATTAGGGCGATTTTTAACCCTGTGTCATATATATGCGTAATTTATTGTATCGCTACTTCATTTCATTTCACTTCTGTCATACAGATGCTATATCTAACTGGACAAGCTATGCAAAGAAACACTGAAAAGCAGATGATCAGTGTCATATCGATTTGGGCAGCGTTCATAAGTTGGATGGAAGTGGTTTTACTGTATCTCTCCGCATGTTTATGCTTATATAAATGAAGTGAAAATGTTTAAAAAAATCTCAACAATAATATTTTCCTAGTTTTCCGTTAATTACTCAGCGTCTTTTGAAACTGAACACCACATGAATACATTTCTTAATTCTGTATGTCAAATTCATTCGTTATATTATGGTTACTGAGAGTGTTGTGAATACATGAACACGATTTAATTATATGGTAGTATATTTTTGTTAAATGAGGTTGTCATAATTACGTATCTTTGAGTTTTCATTCCAAATGAATGGCTTTTGTAGTAAAAGTAATACTTTCACAGTACATCACAAACTGACACAGCCACACATTTGTAATCAGCACTCTGTTGGAAATAGAAGCCAGGACCATCGTGTTGTCCTGTTGACCAGTCAAATACTGGTACGGATTTCAACGGGTGATGAATTTTAAACTCTGCCTACTTGAAATCTATATTGCTACCATCAGTCGACGTCACTGAAGAGTATTCCTCCTGTCGCCTGTCTTTTTGGAAGATGTTAGTAAGATGTCACTAGCAGTGGGTTGCCGAATAAGCTCTTCCAAGAGTCACATGTTTTCAGTCTTTACACACATTGCGTGTATCGAATAACATCTGATTTACTGAAGAAAACAATTGCCCTAACTTGATTTCTATCATGACAAACGTCTTTAGAGTATCCATTAGTTCCTCTGTTATCATTGGACAGTTATGCTATTAGTCTTTCACTGCTGTGGCAGTTTTACCAGCTGTTAATTTAGTGGTATATGAAGCAGAAAGGGTTTCAAGTCCTGGTCATCTTATCAATTGTCTACACCTCGTTAAAAACTGTATTTATTTAATGCTAACAAATTTACAAACAACATGTCTCTGTGGCTTAAAATGTGGCGACCTTAAATTGTGAGCAGCGGTTCTTAATTCGTTAGTCGAAAATGAATATCTTCAACGATTTCATAACAGAGACTTTGGAAAATTACAGCGTCTTGATTATGCACAAAAAGAAGTTCGTACTAGATTTATTTTTTGTTTCATCGAAATACACACTGATAAAATGACTTCTCACCACTACAAAAATATCTTAAACGCTAAGGTGAATTGAAAAGCTCTTACTTCACATAAGGTTCAAATGGCTACAAAAATGGCAGCAAAATTGTATTCAGTGAATTCATAAATCCTAAATACCCCGCATTAACTTTAAATAATACCATTTCTCACAGAATTGAAATTGAGCACATCGCTGATAAAGGGGATGAAATGAAACGCGTTCCAATATGATATGAAAAGCACTGATGTTTCTAACTGATACCACTTACAGTGGTGACATGAGATTGCAAGACATCTAATTAAGTCATAAGGTCTTTACGCAATTCGTGATTATATATTAAGCTTAGTTAAACTATTCCACTGGTCTAAATTTAAATAGTTCAGATATTTCATGTATACTTTCGTGGTCCATCTTGAGAAACAGCAGTTTAAGACACTTTAGTAGAAATATCTAATTGATGTTGGATAGTTAGAGGCGATTCACGAGAAGATCTGGACATAACATTTATTCTTGCTGACATTCGTTCAATCGCTACTGCAGGTGGAGATTTTCCACTGTCATCTTAAAATACTGACTGATAATAACCAGAAAGATGGAGGTGAATACTGAATGGCAGTATAACAGATAAAGAGTTTTCATAGGCTGTTATCAAGGGAATTAATCCCAAGATCCCATTATTCGTGAAGACAATCGACAATCACTAAGCACAGATATCGACTTTCATTACAAAATACAACGGAGTGCAAGAAATTGTATTCTTTGATTGTTAAAATCAATATTATGAACTAAGTCTATACGCAAATGTTTTCACCAGGAATATTTTCATATTCTTTTGTCTTCTTCTAACTTGCACATGCTTGAATCACTTGCGCCTTCAACTTACCCTCCAATGGCGACTAAAGTCAATAAACAAACGTTCAGTGTTTATAGTCATTGGCAAATGTGATATGGGGGAATACAGAGGATGGCAACGTTTGTTGTTTTATTGTTATATTAGATTCCTATTTGGAGAAAACCTCTGTTGTACTTAAGCTTTTATAAAGAGTAAGTATTTCTCAATTATAAAATAGTTTTTAAACGAGGAAGACAATAGATTTCCACTATCTAATGTCTTTGGTAACATAACTAAAACTTTATTGAACGAAAATTAAAGTTCATACGAGAAGTAACTCACAGTTACGAAACTTGAACTTCGTAAATAAAATCACAAAGAAACCTAAAATACGTGATCACATGAAAAAATGTCTAAAATACATCTTTTCGATGAGTGATAACAGCGGTTGGAACAAGAGTTTGAAAATGATCAATAATTTCCATGGCACTTTATTTTCAGGCTGAATGATGAGAGTAGAAAAGCAATAAGAAAGACCAGTGCACATGGTTGTAGAAATTACAACGGAAAATGTATCTTAGCTTCCGATGCTAAAGACTTTAATTAACAGCTATTTTCGCTCATTACGGAAGATCAGGTGCTCAGAAAAGATAAAGAACAAGAAATGATGACATCAAACGGACGCACAACCTGTCTAGCAAAGAATATGCAGTAAGAAATGGAAATGGGAAAATCACCGAGTAACAGTATATTCCATGTCTTCGAAGGAAACTTTATAAGCAAGTAAATAGATAGGTGTCAAGCAGTGATATGGAGAAGATACTGTGAAGAGGAAATGGAAATTTTCAAAGAATTGTATAGACAGCAGAACGTGAAGTGAATCTAGTGCAGAAGAGATGCAGTTATAAATCTGTACTTTTTTATGAATGCAAAGAATCATTTATTTAAGAACTAATGAATTCTACTGACTAGATTAAATCGACAGTCGCACACTGTAGGAATTATTTGCTACTGTATTTTCTCTCTGCACACAATGACTGATTCCAATAAAGTCTTGTCCCAGTGGTAAGAAATTGTATGCGACACTTGTGTTTTCCTTCAACTCTAAAATGTGTCGAACCAAATTTTATGTGAAATGACGATTTAAGAAATGTCACCTATGATATACATTTGATTGTCAAATCTTACAGTGAATAATGTTCATTTCACTCACTCAATTTACCCTCTACACCCTTGACAGGACATCAGAAAATGAGGACTAATTTCTTAAAATTGATTGTAACAACATTTGGTTGCATAGCTGCTATGCTTTCAGCAATTCCTTCACTTCAAGCAGTGACAAGCAGCTGTAAGTTCAACTGTCTCCATCTTTTTAACCTTAGAAATACAAAAACTCACTTCTTCTAAGAACAGTTAAGTGAGCCTTATTACACTACTGTTGATGTGTATATTTTGTCATGTTAATTTGTGAAAATAAATGTATTCACATTGTGAATACCCGAAATTCATTTCATAATTTGTTTTAAGTTTAATCGATTCCATTATTATTATTATTGTTATTAGTCAATCTAGAACCTTTGAACCATGGATTAAGTCTTACGATGTAAAATAGCTTTGATCGTTTTTATTCTCACTGAGAAACTATAAATATGTAAATTTGCATTTAGGCTTGTGTATAACTTAGAAACAGTTTTATTAATCAGAAGAAATATATTCTAAAAATAACCACTTTAGAACAAAGTGCAGTAATAAGCACGAGTACATACTACTAAATTTCGAATAAATATTTTTGAACTGGTAATTACACTTATAGTAGAGTTTATGGGTAGGGCCACTAATCCTTATCTCCGGAAACCAGCCTTGGTTTTTAAACCTGATATGGTCAATCCGGTTGGTTTTCCTTTTATCTCTTCGTATGTCAAGTCTTGTACTTCACTTGTTCTGACTTCAGGCTAGGGATTAAGAGGCCACCACTGTGAATAGACTGGTGGCACAGATTGTCATCTCATTTTGAATTATCACTCACTATATTAACAGCATTTCAATATTTCAAAGCTCTCTCTCGATTGACCTTGACGCGCTTTCTGATTACTACGTTATGTTCACGTAGTAACATAAAACTCTTATTTCTGTGGACTTTCTTGCCAAAAAGTTGAAAAAATTATTGTAATTATTTGCCTTTTAAGCACTGAATATGTGGATATAATCTTGTTGACCAATAATACCTATAACTGTTTGTCATTTGTGCTTGTCTAAAACTAACTAATATCTATAATTGTATACATTGATGGATTTACACGTTCAAAATGACTCAAGTCAGTGAGTCTATGATTTTGGTATCATTTTGGTTAACTGTACTTGACTGTGATATCAATGATATTTTTTGTTATTGTGTTGTCTCTTGTTGCCCTTCTTGTCGTAAAATTATTTTTTTTCTGCTGGTGTTGTTCTAATAGTTTTATTCCTTGTTTTGCTTGATTTAAGGGGGGGGGGAAACCCACGAGGTCGCTTCTCTCTAAACTATATTTTAATGTAACTACCTCTTACTCAGGCGTGGGGCCAGCAGCTCCACACTGTAAACAAAGCTGCTACAGAAATTTCTGTCCGACGAATCTCCTTGTGCCAAAAGAAAAAGTCTGTGTGGGGACATGGAAAGTCTGCACCATGTACAAAATTGGCAAAGCTGCTCAGATCTCAAACGAGATGAAAAGATACGGAATTCAAGTGCTGGGGATATGTGAAAGCAGAT